GAACAATATCTATAAATATCTATATCTATAAATATCTATATCTATAAATATCCATATTTATATATAAGTATCTATATCTATGCATATCTGTATCTATAAATCTATATCTATAAATATCTATATTTATAAATATCTATAGCTATGCATATCTATATTTATAAATATCTATATCTATAAATATCTATATTTATAAATATCTACATCTATAAATATTTATATTTATAAAAATCTATATCTATAAATATCTATATTTATAAATATCTATATCTATGCATATCTATATTTATAAATATCTATATCTATAAATATCTATATTTATAAATATCTATATCTATGCATATCTATATTTATAAATATCTATATCTATAAATATCTATATTTATAAATATCTATATCTATGCATATCTATATTTATAAATATCTATATCTATAAATATCTATATTTATAAATATCTATATCTATGCATATCTATATTTATAAATATCTATATCTATAAATATCTATATTTATAAATATCTATATCTATGCATATCTATATTTATAAATATCTATATCTATAAATATCTATATTTATAAATATCTATATCTATGCATATCTATATTTATAAATATCTATATCTATAAATATCTATATTTATAAATATCTATATCTATGCATATCTATATTTATAAATATCTATATCTATAAATATCTATATTTATAAATATCTATATCTATGCATATCTATATTTATAAATATCTATATCTATAAATATCTATATTTATAAATATCTATATCTATGCATATCTATATTTATAAATATCTATATCTATAAATATCTATATTTATAAATATCTGTATCTATATATATAAACATCTATATTTATAAATATCTACAATATAAATATCCATATTTAAAAACATCCATAAACAGTAAAATGTAGTTGTATTGATTTACATCGTAAATGGAAAACGCAGATCTTTCACGTGTGCTATCATTTCGTTCCATTTGCGAAGAATAATATTTACATATTTCGTGTTAAAATCCTGTCGGAGTCTCTGTTGTGATCGATATCTCGTACATTGTGTGTACAAGGTGTCCCAAAATTATTACACAAGCGAAAAATAAGGGGTTCCTGACGTGCTGTTTTTTCGTTAGTTGAAAAGTTACTTCAAATGACCTCAAGAACCCCGCATTTCCCGCTTATACAATAATTTTGGGACACCTTGTACACACAGAGACATATCCTGAATTATCAGTAAAAGAAAATAGAGAAATGGAGCCGGTTACCGCGGGGTGACCATTTATCACACAATTAATTTCGTATTTATCGAATAAAACGTATTAAATTTCGTTAATCTTTCATTTTGCTTATTTCTTAACGAAAAGTTCAATATGCCTTGTTGAACGAATATAAAGTTAGTCATTCCGGATAACAAACCAGAGGCACAGCAATTGGTCACCCACAGTAACCGGCTCCGCTACCCTACGCTATTCTACTCAACTCTCCACTGTAAAATATGTAAAAATCTAAAATGTGCTATCCTTTTGTCCGAGAGTGACACTTGTTGTTTTCCATCGAGTTCGATGATTCCGAATGTGTGATTTCTGAAATCGGCAGGTGAGCAAAGCGTTAACGAAGGAGCTAGCTACCGTTGGTGGGTCCAGAGACGACAGCACCCTGTCGACGAGCCGTTCTCTGTCGTTGCGTCTGGAACGACACCATTTCCCTGGCGGCATCTTAAGTCTGACCTGTCACTCCACCTTACCGGGAATCAAAGGTATCAAAGCATTGGAGAGGACAGAAACTGCGACGCTGGCTGCCAGCAATCAACGGCTTGCTCAGGAACCGCCCAGATCCGGCTCCGGTTTCAACATTCCCATCCTATCGACCATGGTTTGCTGTGTGTTCGTTATCAAATCCGTTTCCGCCGGTAATATTTCATTTCTGCATATATAATCGGCGAACAATCGCGATCATCGCGATTCGTTGTACTCCGGCGCGGAAGCGTCGTTCACGAGGCACACCTGCCGGTTTTCGCGATGCTCGGCACCTAGACGACAGTTCTGGGGAAAATGTTAGACATATTTTTTGTATTGATTATTAGACCGCGGATGTGTACATTTTCACGCGATCGTTTATCGGAATTGAGAAAATTGTTTTGATTTATTTTCATGGTAGCTCCATCCGATGATCAAAGACGATACTCTTGATTCTTTTGTCATATTTGCCAGACAACGATTCGTTTGTAAATATCTAAGTATAACGATCTTTTTGTTTCTTAGGATAGTGCAGCCAATTACTGTGCCCTGTCGGCGGACTTCCGGAGTTTTTGCTAGTAGAAACAGCTTTAGCAGTTTAATTGATATTTTTTAAGAACTTTAAGAGACATTTCGAAGTTCCTTTTATCGATATAAATTTTCCCATCGCGCAAATATGAAGTCTCGTTTGAATTGGAGAAAGAAACGAGACAGTTCTGCAGTCAGTTACAGCGTGCTTATGATCTACGAAGATTTCTCCCTGATTGCTTTAAATGACTCAAGTCACTTAAAAATTCACGAAAAATTTCATATTTACGTTTTCTTTCTTTAAAAATATGATACAGATGATTTGAGGTTATGTAGGTCTATCTTGTGATAAGCGGCGCAGTAATTGATGCGTCGAGCATGAAATAGGTGCTCCATTTGTTGCTCGAAATTTTGTTACAGTTGTTAGAAAATCGAAGTTTATTTTTATGTTCTCGAGGTTATACATATACAGTGAACGAAGTTTGCATAGAGACATTATTATTTTATAAATAATAGGGACTTAGTGCTCGGTTGCTAACATTAAAGGTAAATTGAAAATTTAGACGGACACCTATATTTTTGGTATACAAGATAATAATAATTAATAAACATATATAAAGAAAATAACGAAATTCGTATAAGTGCAGACGTCTGAAGTGTTACGAAAAAACAACAATAGTCTGCATAGTCTCCATCAAGTTTAAAAAAATTGTGAATAACGTTAACAGATCTATTAATTTCTTTAGCCATTTGTCGAAGAGAGATATATTTGTATATCTATATATATTTATATCTATATACGATATATATTATATATATAATATATATTATATATATTATATATTATATATATAATATATATATATTTATATCTCTATATCGTGATATATTTGTATTATTTTGCGTTCTTCCGAACTTAGAAATTTTCCTCGTGGCATTCCGATAGAAGATGAATTGTTTTCAATTATTTATAAAATAAAATATTAAACACTCCTAATACTTACATTCTCCGAATTACGGACGATGTTTCTCGCGTCGATGATGCTATTGTACCGAGTAAATGTTACTGTCCTTATACAAATTTCGTATCTACCTCGGCAGATATCCTAGAATCTGTGTTTGCATACTCGAAAATCCGGAGTTTGTTGACAACATCGCTTCGCAGTAAACGTACTGCGATATTACTAAAATTTACGACTTATAACCACTGAAAGAAAATCTATACAATGGATTAACTTTTTTCTATAAATCGTAGTGTTCCTACACAAATTTCGTCCACTGTATATCGCGATCAGACTTCGAAAAATTTGTGAACAGTTGCCATGACTGCATCGAACAAAATTTGCATTTGCAAGATCGATAATCGCGATTCGAACGCAAAAATGAACAATTGCCACGACTGGATCAAACAAAGTTTGCATTTCTAAGATAAATGATCACGATCACAAGAGCATGAAAATCACTGAATACTTTCGATGAACCATATCAATAAAAAAACACACACAAAAATGTATAGTTAATTGCAGTGGCTCGATCGTACAAAAATTTGTATTTGCAAGATCGATCATTCTAATTCGAAGACAAAACTCTATACATAATTTCGACGAATTACATCGAACAAAGTTTGCATTTATATTGCATTTTTATTATCACATTGCATTTTTATTATTATATTGCACCTCTGTCTCTATTGATTGCCGCATTAAGTGTCAAATAAAAGTGTCAAATAAAAATTGCATTTCCGTGATCGATGATCACAATCGGACGTACAAAAATCTATAATCAATCGCGATGATCCCATCACAGAAGATTATCATTTGCAACAACGATAATCACAATCAGAAAAACCCAAAGTTTCAAATGAAGTTGTTGGAACAGTCACGTGCAAAAATTTTCCGTATTTCGTGTGCCGCAAACTCTGTGCACTCAGTCACAAGATACTTTCGGGACCCTAAACGAATTCTCAATAAGACCCAGCCCGACCCAAGCTCTGCGTACTACTTTTCAGCCAACCCTTTAACCAATGATTTCGAAGGAGAAGTGTAGAAAGACCAGAGCAGTGTCGCTCGAACGACGCTTCCGTGCGAAGAAGCCAGCGCTTGTTAGCAACGGGATAAACAATCCGGGGGTATCGCTGATGGAATTGTTGAACTGTCTGGATTCACTGCCATGTTGTCGCGTGGTACACCGTGCGCCGAATTGTCCGTTCTGTCGCCGCGAATTATAATTGCGAGATCATGCGGCCTGTGGATCGTTCTTCGAGGTATTTAGCGTCGGCAGCGTTGGGCGCCGCACACCCAAGTACACGCGCGTACATGAACACAAGGTGCACACACACACTTATAACACACACAAACACGTTCATACGCACATATACACGCACACAGGAAAAGCGAGAGCGAGAGAGAGAGAGAGAGAGAGAGAGAAAGAGAGAGAGAGAAACGACGATGAATAGATAGCGAACAGAGAGACACGCCCCGATGAGAAAAATCATCGATCGCGCCGCGGCGGTCGAACAAAACGGAGAGAAACACTATAGCAATATAATTTAATCGAGGCGCGACGAGGACGTGTTGTGTACATAGTGTATGATTGTGAATTAGATTTAACAGAGTTGTGTAATTAAGGGGGAAAATCGATAAACACGGTGAAAGTACTGAGGAATCATTAGAACCGGAGAGAGGAGAGGTATCGGTTGTATATCGTTGGTCACTCGGTCGGAGGAGGCAGTTAGGTTCGTAACAATACGAGGAACATGAATGTGGAGGAGAGCCGCGGTTCCATTGATACGTATTTATGGCGTTAAGATAATTGTATTTTTCTCTCGGCAATCTTTTTTGGTGGCGTACAAGAATTTATATATATACATACATACATATAAATATAAATATAAATATATATATATATATATATATATATATATATATATATATATATATATATATACATATATATACATATATATGTATACACGATGATAAATTCGTCATATTTACGTTTTACTGTAATTTTACATGATCCATATCTGATCGTTACGATACGTTTCAAACAATAAAGAGGAATATTGAAGCACCTGCGCGATTATCATTCACCTGCGTCGACTAACCCGAGCTTCTCTTCCATCAGCACCGCCAGGTAAGTTGTATTTTTTAAACCGCGTTTAAGATAATGTCTGATCTTCCGATTAATGTCGTTGCTATTCTTCTGTCAACTTTTCTTCGATCGTTTCCTCTTAGGGAAATATTTTATATATTTATAATTAATTAATATTTTATAATATTGGGCAAAATTTTATTTGGATGACGGATAACAAGAAATAAAGAGCAACGAATAGAATTTTATTCGAACGCTATCGAATAAATATGCAAACGAATAGAAATCTATCTGTGTAAAAATTCATCCGAGAATAAGATTTCATTCGAATCAGAATTCGATCGAATAAGATTTTATATACGAATCGAAATCCATTCGAATAACAATTTATTGCTGCAGGAATTCGTACGGAAAATAATCGATTTGAATAAAAATAATACAATATAGAATGCTTCTTTTTTCATAAGTTATTGATTCGTTTCTACCCTGTTAATTATTACAATTCACTTTTTCTTCATACGTTGCATCGAAGAGTGGTGTTTTATAAAAATAACATCAACGTATTCTTACAAAATTACGTGAAAATAAGCACAGGCAATAATTATACGCACGTGTTTCTACGAATATAGAATTATACGAATAATTTATTCGAACGAAGAATTAGAAATTTGTACAAAGTGATCATAGAATAATTTATGACGAATAATGAATAATCGTTATTCGGATAATTATTCGTTCGCATAACAATCCCAGATAAATATTTAGTCGAAACAATTCGAATATTGCCGAACTCTGATCTAGCTCTTGTACTAATTGCAATTAGCGCACGAAGTTTATATTTCACACAGAAATCCACAGTCCGATACCTCAAAGTATCTCGCATCTGTCCAGTTCATTTGCAGCTGTTGCGAAACCGTCGAACCCATAAAACGAATTCTTAACACGTTCCGTGCCACGTGTACCATCGATGGTACACGCTTGCATGTTTACTTAGTGAACTGAACAAATTGTTTACAAGAAATTTAGAACCGAAGAATCAATTTCCACCGCAAGAATGGGCGTTGATAAGTTTTTGTTACGTTGTTATGTGTACGAGAATTAATAATTGCACGTAATACATCAAGTTTTAGTAAAATATCAAAGTGTGAAGATTCGAGTAAAAAAAGCTCGGCACGGAACGTGTTAAACTGTTCCATGCCAGCTCAAATAAGAAAGTTGCAAATAAACTTTGCATCGTCCTAGCAGTTCAATATGAAGGGACAAAACATACTGGAAAAAGATAAAGCAGGGATCTCTGTCCTGTATTTCGCAGATTTTCGGTATCTCGTGGACCGTTGTAGAAAGCGAGGATCACTTATGGTTTCGATGTTGCGAGAAGCATTCGGTATTTCGCAAGCATGACGCTGCAACCGACTTCGCCGATCGTGCCCGAAGCTGTGCGAAAACATTTCAGCACAATACGCCCGCGGTTTTCCGATAGCCTTCCAATCAGTTTTACGCTGGATCGTTTTCGAGGGATAACCAGAAATAACTCGGAAGAGAGGCAGGACGATGGTGGATATAAGCGCGTTAACAGAGCATTGATTAACCCTCTCGCGGAACTGCTCCGGTCAATTTAACTCCGGCTCGGTATTTCGGCGTTTAATAATCTCCCCATGAAATATTCATTTCATTTCGATCCGCGAGCAACAACGGTGCCGCGTTCGATGTAAAATAAATTCTGTATTAAAATAAATAGGTATTAATTAGAATTAAAGGGACACCGTTCGGCGACAGGTCAATCAAGTTTTTTAATTAGATGTAGCTATTTATTGCTGTAATTTAAATACGGATTTCTGAGCGAAGTAAATTCTCCCTAATTGACGCTCAGATTGTGCACAAAAATGGACAATTTGGGAAAAGAAGATGCGATTATTATTATTTTTATAGTTACCGATTGTCAATAACTATAAAAATGGGCCGCAGGATTGTCTAATCGCAATTAATAACGATCTTCCCAAATTGTCCATTTTTATGTGCAATCTGATCGTCAAGTAGGGAGAATTAACTGTAGATTGAAGAAATTTAACCCGCATGCTTCTATCCGCATGATTAGTAATTAAGGTTTTTACTAGTTCTCTGTATTCTATGCCGCACTCCATTGCTAATTACAATCAATATTAAAGTAAAACATTGCTGATTCCGATAGATTCTATTTCCAACCATTCTCCGTCGAGAATCTGTATTTCTGATTTATGTTGCAAGTCAGCTGCAAGCTTACTTAGTTTCACAGTGCTTCTAGCTTCAGGTCAATTAAGTAGTTACGCTGTGAAACGAAGAATTTACTTGATATTAGGATATACAGGGTGGGCCATGGAACGTGATCAGCTAATATATTCTGCTGCTAGTGGTTCAATTAGATATTTTTTCAGCTAAAATAACATGGTTCAAGGAGTGCTTTAAGATGATTGTGCCTTTTTGATCAACCCTTTCTTTCTGAAATTATCAAGGTTATATTTTTTATAGGTTATATTATATATATAATATAATCTGAAATTATCTGATATTATAATATATATCTGAAATTATCAAGGTTATGTACATTTTGATGGGGTAACGTTTCGGTCTATTAATTGTCCCTCAGTTAAACGCTTATCAATTGGGGAAGTTAATT